TAGTGTAGTAATTGACCCGATAATACTGTTAGGCAGGGATTATTGCCACTCTAGAAGTGTCTACTGCGGCACACAAACGGAGCTCTAATATGACCACAGATGTTAAGCGATTGGACAGCTCTGAGATTGGCTCCCTCCTCCCACTGGATGACCCTCAGGTGCCAGACTGCCATACACTGGTTGATTAGATTTCCTGCTTTCCAGGCTGCAGGCATCGTGGCGGAGTTTGGGAAACAGCCAGGAATCTCCGGCCTGGGCAGCGCGATTGAATTGCTTGGAGAGCTCGGATTCGGGGATGATGCTGAGAGCTCGCCCGGAGCCGATAGGGAAGGGTTCTCGCTGGTGGATGAACTACTCGGAAGTGATGGAGGTTCTGAGGGATCTGACAATCATCATAGTGCGAAGAGTATCCTGGAGGATACGGAAAATCTTGAGCGTGCGCAGGGAGAATCTTTGGAGAAGTCTGGTTACTCTTTGCCATCGAGTAGCTCACATTGCGTCGAGCTTGCTGACCAAGAGGAATCCCCGCCGGTGCTGGAGGAAGCTTCCCCGGCGAGCCTGGAGGACTCCCCAGCGGTGTGCCGAGAAACTATTACTAAGATATCAGTCAACAAGACCAAGAGCGAGCCAAGGAACTTCTCAGCAAGAACTGCGCGGCTCAGAGATCTAGCTGCCTCTCGGGGGCGTTCATCTGCTGCGGTTCAAGTGGGCTTTATTATGGTTGCTCCCTCAAGCGCATCGCTTTGTTTTTCAGGCCGATTTACCCCGGAGTAGCGAAGAGCACCGAGGCACTTCTGTCAACGGCGATCTGGTGAAGTTGCTCCCACTACGGAAGGAGCTACTCGAGCAGCGGGAGGCTCTCGGGGGAGGGATGGCGCCTCGGCGGTCAGCATGCAAATTTGATGGTCTTGTAGAGGATACATTAGACTTGGCAATGGAAGTGGCCAAGTTGAGAGGGAAGAGCCTTGAAGATCATTGTAGTGTTATTGATGATGAGCAAGTGAGGACTCTGGAGATGATGCTTGAGGGGATGCCAAGGAGAAGCCCTCCGCCCGAAGCAGCACCGGAAATAATTAGTCGGCAGGAAGGGAATGAAGTTGGTGGAAAGGAAAAGTGCAAAGTGTCGAGGATCGAGCTTCGTGATAGGAAGTACACTGACATACTCAGGCGACTGCAAAGCACGGAAAAAACGAGAAAAAGTTGGTATGAAAACAGCACGCATGCGTCGACGTCAACTCGGAACCGACAGAAAGCCACGACGATGAGAGAACGCACAATAGAACTAAGACGATGGTTGGAAACTCATGGTCACATGTCGAGGACGAGGTATCGACGAGATTCCTTGTGATTCGTCGATTTTGAGTTGTCTGCAGTTTTGTGTGCGCGGGGACAGTTTGTGTGAACTTGGATTATGTGATGTCGTCTCCATCGTCCCGATTAGCTCTCCTCGAAGCCCGAATCGCCGAGTCCATACCTTTGCAGCTTCAAGCTAACCAAGAAATGGCAGAGGAGATTGTGCGCTTGCGTGCAGAGAATCGACGTTTGCGGTGCGAAAATGTCGAGCTCCGAGAGATTGCCGCTGGCGGCGACCAAAACGCTCTGAGGGAACTGCGCGTCCTCAGAGAAGAGAACAGCATACTTAGGCAGCGCTTGAGGACGAGGAGCACCTCTCCGATCGCAAGCAGATCACCCGGCGAGGAACGAGGAGGAGGGTTCGATGATGAGATCAGAGAGCGATGTGCATCGTTAAGAGGAAGGTCTCCATCAACGTTGATAAGAACAGGGCGACCAGCTTACCGTCATGCGAGGGAATACATGCGAGAGAGCTGGCGGTGATGATGTACAATGTACCATTCGATCTTAGAAAGCCTTGTGTTGATACAGTCTTGTTGGTGATGTGCGTGTTGGATCAGCTACGCACGCAGACGCAAAGGAATAAATGTAGGGGTGATTAAGTAGACAGATTGCACAATGTGATTGGTAGTGGTAGATTCAACGCAGTTATCTTTCCAATAGTTCAAGACAAACGGTAAAGTCGTTACTGTCAATGTATTATTGCCTTTTGAGGAGGCTCTCTATAGAGTTGATAATTTGTACACAAAAATCGGGACAAGATGGCAGTGAATCACTCAATTAGCTAGCGTACTCTCCCTTTCTGTATTATCGCCTCCCTTTGGCCGTCGATGAATCCATTCTTGGTAGCACCTCCTCAGCTATTTCGTTATTCCTCTCATCTTCTAATATGGATTACTGCAACACCTTCGACACCTTCGTTCCTCCTTCCATTGCCCCGTTATCGCCGATCTCCACAGCCTCGTCTTGGGGCCGCAGTAGCAGCACCACTAGTGATCTCTACACTCCCTCACTCTACCAATCCGCGGACCCTTTAAGCCTATCTCTGCTCGACACAGAGTCCTCATCGGTTCGTTTCTTCCGTGATGAGGAGGCCCTCGTCCACGAGGTTCTCGAGCTCCTTCCATCTCTGAGGCATCTAATGGTCGCTATTCACGCCAAGGATATCTCATCACCTCCCACTATGAACTTCCTCACATCTCGTCTGCCATCAGCTCTTCAATCATTGTTTGTGTTGGCTCCGGCTGCCTCCAGTGATGCCCCTAAGGTTGACGCACTGCGCATTGCGGTTGCGGTGTTGGTCCTTCCTGATGTCGAGGACGTTGCCAAGGTTTGTGTTTCGGGAGCTTTAGGTCCGCTCGTGACAGTCACGAGTTTCGACTCGCCGGTTCTGCCTCAAGTTGAAGTTGATACCGAGTTGCTTAAGAACGTTCCTGTTGGAGCTACTAGGAAGTCCTCCCCTCAGCGCTACTATAAGCCTGTCGAGCAGCAGCACCACCACGTGGAGGAAGGTGCGCCTATCAATGATCTACTGTCGATTGATGATATCTACACCACCAACACTGGTTCTACTGGTGTTTGTGCGGTCCTCACTTTAACCGATGTGAAGAATCTTTTGCCACCAACTGAGGAAGAGTGTTGTTCTCGTGTCCTCTTGGTTAAACGTTGTCATAGATTGGGCAGCCGATGCAGTACCAAGATCAAATCCTATTTTGATAATCTGCTTGGTAAGAAGGATGCTGTAGAGCACGTCTTAATGTTACCATTGAAGTCTCGCTGCCCGTCTAAATGTGGCCGTCCTGTCCCACCAAAGACTGGGTTCGTGGTGTTCAGGGAGCCCTGTGATGCCATGGTTGCTAGGTCGGTTGGATCTGACCAAGTAGTTAATGGCAATGCTATTATTAAAGTTGAGACCTACGATGGTTTCTAATGTAATTTCAAACATCACTATAATCTATCGAGCTTAACTGAAGCTTTTCTTACTGTTACTTTCTCTATTGCTTGACTAGTTGTACTACTCAACAAATTGTGAATATTTACTTAACGTGCAAAGACACTTGGTTGACAGTAGCGATGAGCAGCGTTTTTACTATTTTCTATTGCTGTTTTCTGTTCTGAGTGTCTCATTTCGATCTGGTGCCTGACACATTTGTTGCCACCAGTCGCTAAGAGTTTCCCCTCGTCGACATCGTGGAGGTTACTCATTAATTTCCGCTCTTCATGGTTCCCTTGTTCGGTTCCAAGGAGTACCCATTTTTCAGGTGTGGCTGTAGTCCATCATCGTCTGCGGGTTGATCCGCAGTACCGTGTTTACTTTATGTGCTTCGTAGCTAATTGTTCCTGGCAACGTAGTGTATGACTCTCTTCTCAAATAACTCAATCGTAGCATTTATTCTTTGGGTTTCCGTGCCCATCTCCTATGGTTCTGAGTGCCAAAGTGCCAATAATGGAGATAACGTTTTACTAATGCTGCGAGCAATACTCCTGTAGGAATCATGTAGTGTTATTATTGAATAGATTGCTCAAGGCCTTGCTACAAGGTTGTAAACTGTAGTGGTTGAGATAAAAGAGAATAACATCTGTTGTGTTTCATCTAGTAATTGGTCGGCAACATTGTTGTGATAAAAGGTCTTGCCGCCGGTGGTGGGTAAGTCTCTTTTTCGAGTGGTTAAAGGAGACGTTCACACCTTTCGGAATGATGCCATAAGTGATTGCTCTCCATACCTTTCCAGTAGCTTATGGCCAACTCCAATGATGACGTTGCGAGATCGTCATGTAACGAGGCGCCCCTCGATGGAAGCTTGGAGATAATTCCGGGGTTGCCTCTTCATCGAGTTAAATTCGATTATTCGACTTTTCCTGGTAAGCATATCAGATACGTGTGGCTCCTACAGCTTGGAATATTACGGATCACACCGATGCATTTCAAGGTTTGGAAGTTAAAGAGTCTGAAGTGGTCCACGGTCAGCTTGGCCTCTTCACAACGGAGAACTTCGCTGAAGGATCCCTCATATGCGAATATTCTGGAAGAAGCCTCAGTTTAGCGCAGGTTCTCCAGACAGAAGATCGGTCTTATATTATGGGTATGGCAGCAGCGCCGAGCTCAGCATGTGTGGTTTCATCGTATTATTTCTCTTTTTAGGAGGGTTTGGCATCAATTGTCACATCGATGCGAAGTATTCATTTAAAGTTTGGGGAAGATACATCAATGATTGTAAAGACGCGACAAGGATCAACGCTAAATTCATTAAAGACAAGAAACGGAAAATTGCTAACGTATTGGCGATCCAAGATATTCCGGTTGGTGACTTTCGCTCATTGCAAAGTATAAGATTGAAAATTAGGCCGGAAGGGAAGTCCTTGCATCATACGGTGAAGTCTACTGGAGGCCTGAACAACGATTCAACTGTTTTGAATAGCGTTCATTGAAATGACTGTGACGAGTTGCGTTTAGTGAGCCCCTCGTGAAATCAATGAGACCTATAATACACGTTCCTTAACCATTCCAAGATGAGGCTCTTGCTCTCAATTTGTCGAGATAGTTCTTACTTGAAATTCTACGGATAAATGTTTTAAGGTGCCACGCGTAGCTTGATTTTAGGATAGGGAATGTGGTTTTGCCAAAACCGCAAGGATTCGCCTCAAAATGACCCCGGCCCGATTCGAACGGACAACCTTCTGATCTGGAGCCAGATGCGCTACCGTTGCGCCACAGGGCCCAATTGTTAATTTCTTGCTAGTCTCTCCCGGTCTCATGGCCGCGACAGGCGCACCAACATTCCACGTTGAGGTTGCGCGTCCACTAACTGCACAACATGATATATTGGGTTTCACGGCATGAATATCGAGATGAGCATGAAGCTAATGAGAAGCCTATCGAATGACATTATTGCCATTGACTTTTGTGGGGCAGCTGTTGTTTTCGGTTCACCATTTAGCGGCAGGTTTATCCTGAGGAACACACCTATCTCAAGGAGTTACAATATTTACCGTGATACCCTGAAGAATTCGATGTGTTGGTGCTCAGTAAGCCACCATTGCACTCGGTACAGTGGTATCTATAACAGGTCATCGTTCGTCAGGAGGGTTAGGTCGGTGACTTGTCATCTGAGGTCGTCCGAAGTGAGCCAAGTTCTTTGTATGAGATGTCTTCTCCGGCAAATTGTGTACGATGCACGTTATCGAGTATTCTACAGAATACCGTTGTCCAAAATGCGCCGTGGTCAATATGGTACGTATCAATCTCGTTGCATGAAGTCTCAGCAGATGGAGTATCTTCAGCGAAAACTATCTCATCTGCGGGCCAAACATGCATTGAGTCATTCATCCTCATAATAGGACAGTACCTGTGATCGAATATGAGCAGTTATTCAGTGGAAAGGTTACTCACGTCCGATGCTGTTCCATAACCAAGGCGCATATGTACGTATCAGTCGCTTTGGTGAGCTGTTTCCCAAGTGCACGAATCCATCTGTCGCCTGGTCTTAGTAGCCCGTATCTGTTCCATACGAGGTAATTGCGACGCAATTGTTAGCCATTCAGACGTGGAATCCGGTGTGATAAATCCATCGGTGGCTTCGATCAAGCCGAACCTTTGAGCTGTTCGAAGCACGCCAAAATCCATTGTATCCTGACATGAGAATATAGTCTTCTTTTACATTAATTGCTACAAAGGCTGTAGTGTTACGAGGCACAATTTCAGGAGGGGCTATAGGTAGGCATAGCTCCACTGGAGCAGCAAGTGGACGGGCGAATTGTAGATGAACGCAGTCCCCGACAACTTGACCAACAGCACGTCCCTGAAGTCGCAAGATCATACCCGATTAACGCGTGATATCAATCTGGTCTACCTGCGAATTGGATACGCTACTCCAACAAGATGACGAATTCGTGAATGGTACAGGGTTGCCTATCTAAAGGAGGCACGCAGTACAACTTGAATTGAGGTAACAACATACCAATCCCTCCGAATCATGGATTGAGCTTTCATTGAATTCGTAAGTAAGATAAAGTCGGGGATCCTCCGACTTCATTCCAGCATACAGCTTGCTAAGTGATTCCTCTTCCTGGGGTAATCATGGACCGGTCTCCAGTAAAGTGCGAGCTACTGCTTTCTGCTCCGGTGACATGGTGGTAGTCGTGAATAGCTCAGGATTGGCCATCCTAATCATAAACTGTATGAAGGCTTCGGGATAGGAGTCGGATCCGACCTGAGAAGGGCGAGAGCAACCTCCCTGCTATAGCGAGTTGTACCTTAGTGAACCCCGGCAACTTCGTGGCCTGTGGTGGTGTAGGTGATGCCGTTGGCGAAATCCTCGACAATTTAGCCATAGCGAACCTACGGGTCATATGTCACCGTGGTGTTGGTCATGAAACTTACGCGTATCTTCCTGGCAACGCTAACAGGTTAGGTGCTAATGTAAGAGCTTCTTCCCTTGGAATGGTCTCGACTTTAATCATGTTTGTCCCGTAGGACCTGGAGGCATAGTTATTGGACCACGACAGTGGAGGATTCTGAAGACCTCTGCGCCTCCTCTAATCCTTCGATGAGCTCCTCTTCGTCCGCTGATAACACGGTTGACCTACAACAAACGCGCTTTGCCAGAATGAGGAGTCTAGTTAATTGAGCCGATCAGAAATGAGCTGAAAATATCGTCGGGGAAGAAGCGAAGAATGAGCTAAATGACCCCGGCCCGATTCGAACGGACAACCTTCTGATCTGGAGTCAGATGTGCTACCGTTGCGCCACAGGGCCTTACAAGACAGATAGCGACTGACAAGCTTTATGACCGCTTACTCTTGCCAAGCTACGCTAGTTCCATCACCGGTGACCACTGTGTCTGCTAGTCCATGTTGCATTAGCCTTTCAGTTGATAACCAGCTAACACGCAACCCCTTGATGTCGGATAGCCTTTCAAAGGACCGTCCCGCCGGGTCAAAAGACTCGTAAGACTCGTCAAGATTTTCCTCGTAACTGTCGTGGATAGGTTGAATTTCCGAAGTGTAGTCCGTTACCGAGCGAGCCAATCACGAATGTGTGGCTCCAACTGGGCCGATTGTGGGCTACAAATCTGCGCTATGAGCGTCGTTGCTTTCAACGTTGGTGACATTCGGCATCGTATATAATCGACCCATGCGTCAGAGGTCAGCCGGCCGAACGCACTCAGGAGCACGCCACGCAGCTTCTGGAAAATGTGACGCGTTAAGACCCTGGCTTGTCACGCATTAGACAGTCTCACGCTCCTATCGACTTCGTAATCTGGTATCCACTTATTTATTGGCATGAAGGCTTTTGCTGTGTACGACAGACCGGTCTCTCTGAATGCGGGAAATGACATTGAAACTAACGGACACGCCGACTTCAGCTCTCCGGAGGAAATCCACATCCCTCTATCGATCCATGACCATACCGATCGCCACTCCCCACCTGTCTCCAGGCATCGAGCGCGCTCGAACACGAGGGCAGTCGAGTTAGAGGCATCCTGATGCCATGAGATGCGCGTAGGTGAGCAAGCACCATAACTCACTAAGATCTTGCCCGAGAATAGCTCGCAAGCCGAAGAGTCTCCCCGCCGCTTCATCATGCAACAGCCCTGGAGCGCCTCGCAAGCCTGAAAAGCAGTGGAGTTGTACTCGAAAGACTCTTCAACGCTCCGCATATTTCTAACGCCCGGTTAGTTCAGCTGGATAGAATGTCTGCCTACGGAGCAGATGGTCGTAGGTTCGAATCCTGCATCGGGTATTTACTCTGTTCCTCACCTGTCGTGTCCACGAGCTCTCCACCCAGAGAGGAGACATACCAATCTCCTCTCCCACCTCCTGACAGCGCTGCCTATCGAGTTTACCAGTCCTCGATAACGTGTAGCTGATATCAACACCCGATGAAAAGTCTCTGAGGCTGAGCACATCTCACTTGAATAATGAAGGATCATAATTTCCTCTACCCAACCGAGAATGTATCCCTGCAGTCTCTGCACCAGGTGTTAGAAGGTCTGCCGATACCTCCGCCATGTCCACGACCACCAATCCCCATGGGCTCTCATGTATTGGGAAGAAACACACTCCAAGTGCTTTATGACAGACTAGACGAAGTAGATCAAAGTCGAGGCGCGGGATTATGCATCTACAACTTATCAGGAAAAGGACGGAACGACGTGCTTACCTGCCCGGAGCGCCTCCTTCTCTCAGATTCAAACTCCGTGAACTCGAGCACCGTCCCGATAGACCACAAGATACTGGGTCTTGGCATTGCCTGACAGATGGTCGACTCGAATCTTGCAATGAGGGTAGCTCACCTGTGGGCCGATCTGCACTTCATGAGCTTCGCTACTTCATCCACTTCGCATGTACTATAAGGCTCAAAGTCGGCGCATCTTCGTATCGTCTGTAAGGGGCCAACGCAATACCTGTATCAGATGCCCACCAGAGCCTTTCGTGTTGTCGTACACCAACGGCCTGTGGGGCAAAGCACAGACTCCTTCACCAGGTGGAGTCTGATCAACTTTGCCAGAAGTGACGTTGAACAGGCTTCCTTCAATCCAAATTCCTCCCTGCTTCTCATGGCATTCTGTCTCGCTGGAAGGCTGGAGGCCAGTAGTTGTTGTTGTTTGAGAAGCTCCTATGATTACTTGGTAGTCAAGGCATATGCCATCAGGCTCAGTAGGAAGGTTGTCACTTTTGCAATATGGGCACTCAGCTCCGAGGCAGCCCGACTTCTCTGCGCAAAGCTCTTCGTCTCTCACCTGGGCGGAAACTTTTCTTTTACCCTTCCGGCAGCTGTCGTTACTCCGTGGTCCACATTACATACCGGAAAAGAACAGCTACGACTTGTGGTTCGAAAGCCTTGGGACCAATGACGGCTTGGTCGTGACATGTAGAATCTGATAGCTTCATTCCAGCAGTGAAATCTCTGCAAAGCACACGTCATCGAGTCGGTCGATCTACAGGCCAGATTCTGATATCGACTCTTCCAGGCTTCATATTGAGCGACCAGCTGCGGATTAGCTGATGCCGGTGGGGTCAAATTATACTCCACAAATTCTTGGGAAGCTGCCGAGAACTCGCTCGGCCACCCTTGGGAAGCTATACCTGGCGAGAGATGGACTCTGTACTCGTGCTGTTGCCTTCTCTACAAGAAGCTGTCTACAGCAGGTAGTTTGCCTTAAGTCTTATCGAGCCCTGACAGCATTGACCTTTACAGGCGTCAACAGCACCGCGACATTTTGAGTCGATATTTGGGTGTCAATAGAAGTCCGAAAACTCAGATGTAACAAGCAAGTATGTCAAGCCGTTTGTGACCAAGTGCTACTCTTACCCTGGCCAGAGAACAGATCTGCATACACTTGACTTTGAATCGAACTAAGATAAGGCTTCGTTGCTCTGTTTGGTCCTCCAAAGGTTTGTAAAGGGTCCGGTAATCGGTAGTAGCATCCTCCTTTACCATAGTTCATAGTGATATCCCAATTCAGGAACGTACCTGACAAGGTCGTGATGGAAGGGGGCGGTAGTCAAAAGCAATGCTCACCTCCAACATAATTATCATTAGTGAGGCCGAGCAATGTTTTGCCAAAATCTGTTATTTCTGTGAAAGGGTAAGTTCGAGACCGCCAGATCTGCTGCATCCTAAGAACTAATAACGTCCGACCCATTCACCCTTACCAGTCACCTTCGTGTGTCGGGATTTACTGTGCCGGCCAACACTTCTCGTTCGCAGATCTCG